TGATTTCGGAAATTTTTTGAACGGTTTCTCTAAAGGCCTACGATTGATCGTCCTGAATATTTACTGAGTGCAATTTGTCTTGAACAATTGTGAAAAACTTCATTCTGTCCGAGGTCTGTATGATAAAAAAATAGTACTGTTTTACCTCAGATGAGATTTATTAAAAGTATAAAAGATTGGTTTACACACCCCCAGATTTGTTGGCGAGATTTTTTCTGTAAAGTAAACTTGTCGAACGCGAAAAATTCGGCCTGATTTGTTTTCCAGGTCTAATCTACTGTGATCAAGAACCATTATGGCTTTAGACTTTCTCAAAGTCCTTCGCTTCTCATTTCCAGGATGCAAGTCTTGCATCAGGGAGCTAACTGGCTATTATTCTCAGTGAATATTCTACGAAACTAAACTAAGCAAAACTAAACACCAAAGTTCGGCATTCGTTCGGCAAATGACCGCGTCTTACATTATAAAACTTAAAATTTTATGTGTTTGTCCTCTTAATGATAATTAAAATTAGCCAATCAGCGTGCGAGATATAATTTAGTTATTGTAAAAAATATCTTTCTATAGTTTTTTTTTTTGCTTTTTGTTAACTTGCGTTTGAAACACCAAAGAATTTCAATTTTTTACCAGAGTAGAATGACTCAAAACGTTGTGGAATCTAGCCTGACATCTACTTCGAGAAAAAAAAAGCCGACGAGCAAATGGCACGTTGAATTTACATGGTGAAAATACCCTAAACTTGTATTTTTTTCCGTGACTAAACAAATGTTTCATTTCGGCGCATAAAATGAGCATATTACAGGCTGAGTTCACGGTGACGTTTTGTATACTTTTGACTGGTGATGAATGACTACACTACGTTCGAAAATTAGTTATGACCAAGAAAGTTTGTTAAGTTGATTTTCAGGCTATCAGCCTGTCTGACAAAGTTAAGACGAAGGTTATTCTTCGTTTTATTACAAAGTTCTATGCAGAGATATCAGGAAGTAATCATGAGGTGAGTGGTATCTTGAGGGACAACCAACCGTGTAACTGTGGTTTTCAGTGCTTATATTAGCTATATTGGCGATAGAAATGAACGACATTTATACATAATATTAAGGCGCTCATAGATCAAGAAGGTTTTTTCGATATTTTCACTAATTTCATACCGGTAGTATATATCCAAGGTCTAGCCAAATGTCCTGAATGTCACGCAAATATATAACTATATCGGGTAGTTATCACTAACTGCGGTAATCATACTTTTTTTCTTTTAGCATAAAAATAGAAGTTTTAGTCATAATAATACTGCAATAGAGAAAAGGAAAGGAAATTATATTACACATTATCTTTTAACAGAAATTTAACAAATGTTTAGGCAGCGATTCTTACATAATTTGCCATGTAGTCATTATGCAAAATAAACATCTGTAAAAAGGGGAAAATTAACTCCGGCATATCTTGGATATACCACTGAAAAGAATAACTCTAAGATTTTGAACGTATACCTTTTGTAGCGCATGGTTGTCTGTATTAATATTACCCTCTTTAAAAAAAAGATAAAATAACAAAATCATTGGACCCTTTCATGGTTTCTGAGATAGACAACGCGTTGGAACGAGAATAGTTATTTACCTTTGTCTCGCGGAAGTCGTTCGTCTTCATATAACATGGGGTAACAAACCTATGGGAGGTCGCTATGAAGGAGAAATACGGCGAAAGAGGATAATGCCCTTGAGTCGCAAACTTTATAGCGAAACATTTAAGTAAGTCGAGGTTGGACAATCAAGAGGACCACTCTGAGTCAGAGGAACAATAAAGGTTTTCACTCGCTAGGCTCAAATACGACTAGAGGCCACACCGGTACCGAATCCTTGAAATTTGTTTCTTTTTTTCGGCGTTAAGGAGTGTAACACGCTGGTTTAGCAGAATTCTAACGATCGTTGCGGGGTCTTATGCGAACTAAAGTTTAATCAAGTATCCTGATTAAAATTTTCGGATCTCCGTGTA